CAACTCACTTTTCATTGTATTTTTTTGATCATCAAGAGCAAAAGATAATGACAACCTTTTTTAAAATTATCTGATTGGCTAAAAGCGTGTGCAAAAAACATTTCCAGGAAATTACTCTTGAATTCCAACGTACATGTATTTTTTTTAAAATACATTTTACAGCTTATTTTTTGTTCTCATGATAATGTTTTACACTGGGAAATTTTTAATTTGTATGTGATATTTTAAAACAAACTTTTGTGATTTAATTTATAGTCAATTTTTTATTGTGATTACGGTGATTGTTTATATCGAGCGGAGCATCAGTTAGTATTACTGCTTGACCAAGCGAACACAGTTTATCATGATAATTACTTTTCGTTTGTTTTATGCAGAATGTTTATGTCTTTCAAATCAACTGTTTTTAGCAACATCAAAACAAAAGTTCTCAAGGCTCGACACTGGCTTGTGGTATGTCGCCCGGCATAGGAGAAATATCTTTCAGGAAGAAAAATTACCCGAATAGTTACCTACACAAGGCAGTTGCGATAGTAATGAGTTTATGTTTTACAAAACATAGAATGATATGCTACATGAGTTCATATTTGTATACCCTTTGAGCCTTGGTTAGCCTTTGAAACAAAGTAAGCAGAACTAAATGTATCTAAATGTATTTTGTTCTGAATACTTCAATGTAAAAACAATGTAGTTTGGTTTTACCCAGCAAGGCGACAAAAAAAGAAGAATTACAAAGGAGTGTGGAGCTTTTATAGAGCTTTTTCCATGTTGTTTAAATTATGTGCTTTATTTATTATCTTCCAGAACAATTGGCATTTTACAGGATGTGATATTTGTTTGTCATCCAATAGTGAGGACCAATTCCGTTTAGATGTGTGTGACTTTACAAATGCAATAGTTTGTTATGTTCTCTTTTATGAATTCTCTACAAGGAGGCTGTATAATCATAAGTAGAACATGTGTGTGTTTTTTTTAATACAAAGATGCCCCGTCAGACCGACGAGATCAAAATGACAGTAGACCAAACAGGATTGACATGACACCCGAATGGCGAAGATTCGATCGGTTTGGCCTTGTGTCTTTGGTATATGACTGGTATTTCATAGTACAAGAAAAGGGAGTTTGTAGAGTAAAGTTTTTAGAAGTTACATGGCGGTATTTCTCGCTGTAGTTTTCAAGAAGCCTTGTGATTCGCTTTCATACTGCCAAACAACTCAGTTTCATTTCTCTTTCTCAATGTAATTGGAAGACAAAATTAAGGATTGTGTAACATGTATATATTGAAATTTGTATATCCTAACTAAGAATCATAATTAAGTGATAAAGAGAATGTAAAGAAAACATTGGAGATATACTTCGCTGCATCATATCGAAACAAAAACGTATCATAATCAATTTTAGTTACAGTTCTAACCCAAAACATAAACAATGTAATTTATTTTAAAACCCGGATGCAATTAACATTATCGCAACTATTTTTGAAAATGAAGTTAAAGGCAATTTTAATAATCTATGTTATGTCCTATAGAAACCATGTTCGGCTCACGTAATAGGTCATTGCATGCCATGCTCAATATGTGACGAAATTGAAATTGTCTTTGGTCGATTTTTGATAAGTAGTTGCTATGGTATTACTATTTCGTATATCAACCATAACTATTTAAAACGGTCAATTGTTAAATATGACACAGGTTGGACCTGACTGCCGCGTATGACACTGTGTGGCATCTTATATGGGTATGTCCGGGGGGGGGGGGGGGTACTCAGATTTGGTTTGGACGGGGGTGTACCGCCCAAGTCTCGAAACCCCAACTCATTTTTACGGGCCAGTTGGGGGGGGGGGGGGGGGGGGGTTTCTCGAAGTAAAACACAATTTTCAGGCTTGTTATGAGAATATTGTCGTCTGCACAAAACACAGAGGGCGCCTATTCATTTTAATACGGAGATATTATTACAAATGTATATAAAGTGTTGATCACTATTCTCAATATATCTCTATCTTTTTTTAAAGGTATTTTTTTTACCAGAATCTATTTTTTCTTAAGTTGTTCTTTGGTTCATTTTAATTGTACCAATACTCGTAATCGTATAACGACACGCCCCTATTATGTTACTGATTATGTCAAAATATCTTGTACAGTATTTTCGAAATCGCACAGAATTGAAGTAAATAATAAAAATGCTTCTGGGTTTAGAAGGTGATTGCGGAATAGGCTCAAACAGGAGTATAGCGTCACGTTGTAAAAATAAAAGCTATAAATATTTTTGTTACACGAAATAAAATTTAAAATAGATCAAAGTGAAGTGTTGTAATTTCATCCTCTTTTCCATTATTAGAAGGCGTGTTCTCTTCCATTATAAGGCTTGATTGGAAATGACGTTTATTGGAGAGAAGACTAATGCATGTCTGACTGAATTGTGCGTTAATCATATTCACTTGGATAGGACTATTCATTTTTTTTTATCATGTTTATAGTGAAATTGTGAGAGATGATCAATGACG